TTCAAGAAGGACCACAACATAAAAAAAGGGGAAGGGGGGAAAAATGCTCTGTCATAAGGATCTCTAAAGCATTGACAAACAGATGTGCACAGCATGCGTACACACACACACACACACACATGCAGACGCACTGACAAAGCCTTGTGAACGCTGAGAGCTTATCATGCAAGTGGTCTATAAAATATGAATGATATCGTGCTATATATTTTTTATCAGCCAGCCTAAGGGCATGTATGAACTGGAGCAGCAACAATGCTCTGTTTCTCTAGCCGCCGCGCTCTTTAGTGCATAGAGAGGAGGAACCACATGCATGTCTACATCATGTGTCTTCCGGTGAATGGGGTGCTTATATTCATATGCATTTACAGCAGTGTTTTTGCATGGATTGTGTATGTTTCTGTTGTGTTTAAACAGAAAGAGAAAGAGAAAGATAGTGCATCCTTCAATGTGTCTGGGGAGTTGCTGTCAGAGCTTTGCATGCAGCTCTGGAAGTTAATTCACACAGCTGTCACACACACACACACTTTAAGAGAGAAAAAGTGAAAGGAGGAAACATCTACCTGCAGGCCTGATGGCAAGGAAAACAGTTGCAGAGTTTGCAGAAAGCTGCTGTCTGCACTGTTAAAAGAGGCTTGCCGTCTCTTTCAACTTTCTTTTTCTCACATACACACAGTTTCATAGACACACACACTCTTGGTTTGGAGCCCACTCACACTCTTTAGAACATTTGAACACTAGCCCTTGTGTAGGAGTGCGCTTTTGGCACACTGCGAATGTATGAGTGTGATTATGAGAGAGCGAGACAGCGAGAGGATGTACTTGAGACCGAGTGTGAGAGTTTGTGTGTGTTTGTATGTGGGGGGCAAGTGCATTTGTGAGTGTCTGCTGCACAAAACAGAGAAATAAGGGTGAACAAAAACACAGGAAAAGGAAGAGGAGAGCAAGAAAAAGGCCCTGTCTTCTGAAAACGCTGACAGGTTGACAGGTCTGCTGAGACTCGCAGAAACAAACAAATGGAAACGGAGCGAGGGAGACAAAGAGAAGGTAGAGAAAACTGAGAAAAGAACAGAGGAAGGAGAGAAAACCTACACAAAATCTATAAACATACAGACAAGTTGAGCATGTACACAATACTATTCTGTAGCGCCCCCAAAATCCTATTTCCTTTTTCTCATTCAGCTATAATCCAGTTAGTCTTCTCTTTATGCTACATGCAGCACACTCAGACCTGCGTTTTCAGCCAGAAAAGTTAGCTGAAAGTTTGACTGTAAATTCACAGACATGGCATGAAAGAGAATTACAGTAAGAGAAGAAGAAGAAAGCAACAAAGGGTCAAAAAAGGAAGACAAACGCAAGAGAGAGAGAAGTGACAGGCCGCAGACGCGAGGGACGAGGATGGAAATAGAGTGCATGTGGCTTTTCAGAACGGAAATAAAGTGACGCTTTATTGAGAGGGGAATTGTCTGTGAAAAGATGGTATTGTGTAATATCGCCTTCCGCAAGCTTTGCATGAGTCCCGGCGCGGATCTTCACAATACAGCACTCTATTTCTGTGAATCAGCAACAAAATAAGCCTCCAGCTTTGCCAGCAGAAGATCTCATTTTCACACCTATTCTTCCGCTTGTCCATAGATGATATTGGAGATTAATTTTCAAAAGAGAAAAAGGAAATAAAGAATGATGAATGACAGAATTTATCTTGGATACTGGTATATTATTAGATGACTGAGGAGAATTGGCTGCACCCCAAAGCAATAAGTATCTATAGAGTAACGGAGCGTCCACACAGCGGTGTTAAAAAATCTTGGAATGCTTCTGCCCATTCACTTTGAATGGGGTGACGTCACTTTGCCTCACTTTTCGCCGAACTGCATTGTGGGAAGCAGAGCGGAGATTTTCAGGATTTTCAGGATTCAAAGTTGAGCAATGTTCAACTTTTGAAGCTGAGGTGGAAGCGTCAGCCAATCAAATCCCGTGTATGCAAATCTGACAGTTCAAGCGCTAGCCAATCAAACTGCGTGTATGCTGGGAGAGACATACCGCAGGTCATTTCCTCATATTCCAAAATATGGAGGAGAAATTAGCGGTAGGGAATCACCCGGTGCTTTATGACCAGTCCCTATTTACCTACCGGGATATAAACCGGAGGAGCCAGGCATGGAGGGAGGTGGCAGAGACAGTGGTAGGTTTTCGCCTGTTTGGGGAGTTTATATCCAGTTTACTTCGGGCTTTTTTGCTTCGTATGTCGGGGGCGGGAGATTCATGTGATTGGTTGTTGGTGCCTTGCTCGCAAAAAATCCCCAAGCTTCAGATACGCCCACCTCCAAGATTTTTTTTAACGCTGCTGTGTGGACGGGCCGTTAGAGTCCTGCAAAACTACAATACCTCTCACTATTGATTAGTTCATTTACAGCCTAGGACTGTTGATCAAAGACATTTTAAATATGCGATTTCTTCCGTAAATATGGGCTTACCATTAGATCTAACATCTCCACAGGCACCTTTGGTAGAAGTACAAAGTTGAAGACAGTTAAGAATGGAACAAAATGAATAATATTGTTAAATATCGTTATTAAATTGTTTGTATTGAAATGTGGAAAAGACAAACTGCATTACGAACAGTGGCGACTGGTCATTAGGGGCAGGTGGGGCACAGCCCCACCTAGTGTCAGCAGAAAGTATTACAAATAATGATTACAAAAATGCAAAAAATAAAATAAAAAAATATATAAAATATATTTTAAGATCATGTTTAATCATCTGATTCGTCTGTACATTGCTGTTTTAGTCTGTGTTCTTCTAATTAGTGTGTCTACAGTCACAGTGTGTGCCTATTGAGCTGTTTAGAGCCATGTGGGACAAAACCTGATTATGCCCCTTCCTCTCGCTGTGAAGTCAACGGTGACTGTAAAAACTTCACTGCGCATGCTCAGAGTATTTTGTAATGAAATGTGTGTGGCAAAAAAATAATGACCAGAGGGGCACGGAGCTACCATCCCCACCATACGTCATCTCAAATCATTCAGAGCTGATTGGCTGTAAGTACGTGTGCCGCGAAAAGTGTGCTGTGTGAAGAGGAGACGAGAGAGCTGCAGTGGCGCGTCCTAAAACCAGGAAGTAAGCACAAAAAAGCAATGAGATTTCTCCAGAGGATTTTAGAAAATAGCTCGAAATAAGATCTGTGGGAAACGTACCTGTTAGATAAATGCACGTTTTGATTAGCCGGATAACATCCACATGTCTACCCTACTTATATAATTTTTTTATCATAAATCTATGGATTAGATTTATGATAGACTTTTGAAACTACAAGAACATAAGGAGGACTTTTACAAAAAAGTAATAGAAATGTTTGTCCAGAAGGATAGGCAAATGGACTTCATCTTCAAGTCAAGGTAAGACCGCCATTTTATTGAAAATGGGATCTTACTAAGAGAGAACAATTCAATATTTAAATGATAAAATGACATTTTTTGGGTATCCTTTTGTTGAACTGTCTGTTTAAAATTAATCGAAGCATCAGACAAAAAAAGCTTTTGAAAATAATATTATATTTTGGTTTAGGTCAAAATATAATATTTGTAAACCTGAAGAGTCAGTGCCAGTGCCTCACCAGCCATGAACCTCACTGCACGTCACTGCAGAAGCTTATATATAGACATCTAAGTTTTTTGTGCCCCACCACTTTTGTACATATAAAAACACCACTGATTACGAAAATAGTTGTTTGCATTCTGATCCTTGCATGTGAGAGTGAAGCTGTAGTGGGAGCAGCCCTTATTAAATGAAACATTTACAAAACTTTTAAATACCAGGATGAACAGGAAGAAAAGAGACATTACACAAGCTGGGAAAAGGGCCTCAGTCTTCCTGGGACTCAGTTGGAAAGAGAGAAGTGTTGAAAGAAAGACTTGTCCTGGACACTGTCAGGAATGGAGGAGAGAAAGAAAGGATGTGTAGATAAAAGAGTGAGAGAGACATAGATGGACTTCGGCTGGTTGGAGAACAGAAGCTGGTGGAACGGAGAGAGTGTGAAAGAGAGAGAGAAGGAAGGAGAGGGTGAATACCAGCTATTGTTGGAATGCCGTAGCAACACGCGGCAGAAAGTAAGGGGGAGGTGCGTGCGTGTGTGTGTGTGTGTGTGTGTGTGTGTGTGTGTGTGCGGGGGTCAGTGGGTTTCCTACTCTGTTCAAGTTGCTCCTTGTCAAAGATGCGTCGAGTACTTTGTTGGCAACCTAGCGACTGTGGGCTTAAATTATTAGGTAGTCTGGACACGAGCCTAAAACAATCCAGAACTGCATTTCAGACCAATGTATAAACACCCAGAGACTTCAGTTGATGGAGCAAGACATAAGCATTGCTCCGGTTAGAGATCAAGCGCACATCTTTGTTAAAAATACACTTCTCCATTGTTGTTCTATGACAAATAGGACAAAGAAGCTAAAGCCATGCTGATGGGTCAGTGTACTTTTTCAACGCGGCGCTTTGAGCTAAATGCTAACATGTTAACATGCTCATAATGGCAATGCTAACATGATGATGTTTAGCAGGTAGCGTAAACAACATTCGTTATCGTATTGTAGCCTGTTAGCATTCTAGCATTAGCGCATTAGCACAAAGAAGCTCACAGCTAAGGCTGATTTCTATCTGATGACACTAGGTGGAAAGTTCAATCATCAAAAGTCAATAGGATTTGTTCTCTTGAATTTCTGTAAAAAAAATCTTAGCAATTCATTAAATTGCTTCATTCTGAACTAAATTGTTGGGCTGATCCATCGACTGATTTTTGACATCAATACCCACTTGTTCTTCTAAGAAAATAGACATATCATCATTTGTCATCCATATGAACACTGCTTTAATGTGATTCAACACACACTGTACTTGCTCTCAAATATTTGGAAACCTTTTTTTGTTGACTGTTTTAATCGCAAATTAATATATGTATGTGTAAGTCCTTTCCATCCTAATAATCTCACTGTTTCCCTTTGTCGTTTTAGGATCCTGCTGGCATCTTTGAGCTGGTTGAGCTGGTGGGAAATGGCACCTATGGGCAGGTGTACAAGGTAAGATACACACATAAACAGCCTTGACATTAGTCTGTCTTTTTGATAGCACGCTTTTCCCTTCTTATCAGCTTCTGTTCATTCTTTCCAAGATGCCAACATTGAATAAAGGGTAGACATGTGCACTGTAACTGACGGAAACAGAAAAAGACAGGAGATAAAAGCAGAGCACAAGCTTGAGAGAAATGGAGCGAATGTAAGAGACTAAAATGCAGGGAGAAGAAGCAGAAACTGGGGCACATTAAAGTGCTTTTAAAAGAATTTCCCCTGCTCCTTTTTCTCCACTTCCTCTCTTTTTTCCCTGCTTTATTTGAATTACTTTCCGTAAGTGAGCATTGGGTTTATAATTCTTCCCTTCTCTATGAGGTATTTCAAGGGCAAGTGTTTCTGATACACAGGAAGTGCTTGTGCTCAGTGTCTGATGTTGTGACATTACTGTGGTTTAGGGTTTTAGCTGTCCGCTGGAGTCAGCTGTTTCCCCGCTGTCGTTTAAACACTATCTCTCAGTCCATGTTAGTGACTGAACTTCCTCTCCCTTCCATGATGGCCCGACGTTCTTTGGTCCTCACTTCCTTTTCCTGATTCTTCCCCTCCATCCTGCCACTCTGCAGGATGTTGCATCAGCCTGCACATGTTTGTATAATCCGGAATAAACATGTGTTTGTTCAAATTTGTGTAGGTATGGATGGACATGTGAAGTTCCTTGTGAGGGCAGGTATTTTATGAGTGTGAAATTGTGTCTAATGGAGCAGAGAGTCCAGGTCAGGTGGTGATGAAGAGGAGCTGGTCTTACAGCTGATTGGACAGAATGAAAGGTCAGGCCGAGGTGGGACATGCTTCTCCAGGCTTGTAGAAGTAATCTGGCATACTTGTGTGCGTGTGTGTGTGAGTGTGTGTGTGTCGCTGGTGAAAAATCACAAAAGGAATGGCGAACAGGAGAGTTATGTGTATTCATGTATTGCTGACTCGGCTGTCTTGGTGAAAGTCACGGCTCATTTGCTGGCTGACATTCAGCCGGTCTGTTCCTATACATTACCGTGGCAACAGCAGCGGCTAGTCGGGTCTGTGGTCCGTCCAGCTGCTGCACGCTGGCTTGTGATTGGGTGTCACTCAACAGTCTGGAATGAAGTTGATTTTGTTACAGCTGTAGATTGACAGATCCATTTGACAAGATATTCAGATTGTTTGATTTTTTTGTGTACACCTATAACGTTTTCAATGTATGAATTAGAATTGGAGATCATTTATCATTATTTGCACATTGTTCGTGCTAGATTATTTATATTTAAAGTTGTCCTGAGGGGCTAAATATTATTAACTATTGGGTAAGATTTGTTGCACGTATTCTAAACGTCATGGTTGTACATTTCACAGTAAAACAGTAGAGCTCAATTCGTTGACAAATAATGTAACCTCAACTGTTTTCACAAGGGAAAAAGGAAATAAACTCCAGTGGTTGAGATGGGCCCCAGGGCACTCTGTAATGACAGGCTGGAGAGCACACTAGTTTGTAGTTATTGAGCGCTCACATACCATCGTTTTGTCTAATCACACGATCACATACAGACTTTTGGTCTTATGGGGAAACCAGATACAGAAGGTTTGTTTTGTCTGTTGTTCAGACAAACAACAAGCAAAATATTCAGTTTTAAACTACGTTCTGACATTTTTTAGATCAAATATTTATTGGAGGACATTAATCATCGAATTAATCAATATTTAAAGAGTAGTTCTAATTGAAATATAAGTTCTCAACTTGCCTAAATACTATAAGGGCAGAAAACATGCTTTGTAATGCTTGCTCTCAAATATTAGCCCTTCAATGCTTTGGAAGGAAATACAGAAGTAAATCCGGAAAATATTGGATTCATCCGTTCAGATAAGAGCCAGTCACTTGAGTCAAAATGCCATCTATTTTAAATTCCTCATACGGCCGAGGCAGCCGGCTGAAGAGGATCATCTTCTTGTGAGCAGGTGAATCTCTGAGTCACTGAGATGATAAATTGACCTTTAGCCCGGTGAGTATTAGTGAAACGGAATTGCTCCGGCTCTCTGTGAACCATTTTTAGACACTTGTTATATCAGAAAAACGACATGTGGGAATACCATCAATACTATATATAGCTCCTGACTGTTAGTTTAGTATCCCTATCTGGATCAATGTGTGCTGCAGAGTGAACACAGGTGGAGTTTAGATTCAGGAGTCAGGCGGGCTGTAAACATGATATTAATTCTTATTCTGATTCCAAAAAGAAAGTCAATTTGCTTTGTGGCCAGGAGCCAGATTGTTCTAATGTGTCTGTGATCAAACACTGCATGTAGACACGTTTTGCCTCGGTCATTTATTGAACACCAGTGTCTGCTGCAGCAGTTTAGAAAAATTATGAATATACAAAAGTCCTCTATTCAAGCTTCTACTTATTTGTTCCAACTAAGCTTCTTCTTTTTTTTAAATCAATGTTATTAGTTAAAGTCCCAACTTCAACGTTACTGTTTTTTAATTCACTGAAACTAAATTATTAATTGATTTGGCTGGACACATTTAGGCTTCACTCTGGCTTATTAAAAATGTAATAAGTCTGTTGGATGAAGTGAAAAATGCATCAGGTAAAAGCGAAGAACCTCCAGCTGACATCTTTTAGATTAACATCCTCAAATTAGATACTTTGGTGTTTTTCCTCCAGCAAAAACATGACTGTAAGACCAGTCCACTGCATTCTGCTGCAGTAGCTTTTACTCAGTGTACTGTGGGTAATGAAGCCAGAGATATGTAGGTTTAAGTGTACCCATGCATGCGTCCTTTTGTGTGTTGGGGATAGTAATGGCCAGTAGTACTGTGTTTTATGTTGTTGTTAAAGGGCCAGTGTGTGCCACAGTGCTGCAGTTCTGTGTGTCTGGGAATAAGCGATAACAGGTTTATCAACAATTCCATTACCCCATCTAGTTAAATGATACAGATCTGCTCCGTCCTCTCTCTCCATCCCTCTTCTTTTCCCTCACGTGCATCCAACATCTCATCTCAATTAAAAAATGTTTTGAAAAGTTGTCCCAGGTTGTTTTTATTTGTTGCAATTTCTCCGTCAGCAAAAAAAGAGTTTGTCCAAGAACAGTGATAGATGAGTAGCTGCAGCGAAAAAGATAATTTTAGCTCGACTTCTCCCTCTGTCTCCTTTCTCATCTTACATCTCCATGGCTTGTTTTTTCTCCTCTGATTAATCATCCCCATCACTTCATCGCCCCTCGCTCTTCTTGTTATCAATATGTAATTACGTTTTTCTTCTCTTTTTCTCTTGTTTTTTTGTGCTGAAACTTCCCTGGTGTGCTGTGCTTAAGGGATCAGCCTTTGCCTACAGTATACGTATATATAGCTTCTACTGGCTGCTCTAAAAGGGCCATAAATAGAGAACACGGGTAATGCTGAATAATTAAACACATTCTCTCTCCACTCCGCTCCCTATTCGTCATCCCCTCTCTGCATTAGCTTCATTCTCTTCTCCTACACTTGTCACTCTCTCTCTCATCATCTCACTCCCTCATCGGGATTTCCTCCCTTTACTCTGCCACGTCTCTCTCCTCCACTCTCAAATCTCCAGGCCTCCCTCCTTCCCCTACATGCGCTCTTTTTTTTTTTACATTTTATTTTATCCTGCTTCAGTTCTGTACTGTCTCCCGCTTCTTTCTTATGCTTGTGAATATTTGATGTGGCTTTTGGGAATTTCAGTTCTCTGAATTGAGGAAGCTCTTCGCCTCGCAGGGGCGGGAAAAACATCCTCCCCACGCTAGCCAATGGCGAGAAACACTCACTAATGACTGACAGGACAACTTATTGACTGACAGACTTATTGATTGGCTAATTGATTAATCGCAGCTCCTCTTCATTCCCGAGGGGAAAGTCATTTTTTCTCCGTGATGGATCCAAGGACAAATTGAGAGGGCAACTAATCATATCTCACTCATAGGAACACAAACACTCACACATGCACAGGCACGTGAACGATGACACACTCGGCCTCATCGACTGTCTCCACGGGTCTTTCAGCGGCAAAACATTTCCTGTTATTGTGTGGGTTACTGTGTGTGTGTGTGAATGTGCCTGTGCTGTTCACATCCTTGTATTGCCGTGAGTCTGTTGTCGCCATGCAGGGAGACAGAGGAAGAAAAAAAGAGGGAACCAATCTTCTTCTTTCTGATGACAGAACACATCCACTCTGCCTCTCTTCGTGGCCAGGCAAAGTGCTACTCGCTCTCTTTAAATATTCACCAGCCGCTCTGAGACACACACACAAAGCGACAGTTGGGGACCTGGGCCGTATGGGCTTTTATAAGCTCACCCACTGTGACAGCCTCTCTGTACAAAGAGCAGCTGTGTGCCTTCCATTTACTGTAGCGCAGTGTGTGTAACCAGTGTGAACAAGCGTTTGAAGGAGCATGTATGTGGTGACATGCTCTCACGTCTCTGTGTATGTTTGTTTTTTCTCGGGAGTGCATGACTCGAGCTCCTGAGAAAGTCATATGATAAACCACAATATGAAAAACATGCAGTTTGCGACTTTCGATGTCATGATAATCTTGTTACCGTGGAAATCCACGGGATCAGGATGTAAACACAATAAAAAAAGGGAAAGATAAGATCAGGAATATGGTTCAAATAAATGTTTTATATTGTTTACCCCCTATATCTTTCTCTTTTTCTCTTCCTCGGTCACCTTATCGCTTGAACCTCCATTTTATTTTATTTTTGTTGCGCCCCGGCTCACCTCGCCTCCTCCCTCCTCTGCCCTCTTTAAGAACCGAATATAACTTCAAAGTTGTTTTTTTATCTGCCTTATCTGCTGGAAGTCACACTGCAAAGGACTGTGGGAGATTTTTTCACACAGACACACAGACACACACACACACAGACACACACACACACACACACACACACACACACACACACACACACACACACACACACACACACACACACACACACACACACACACACACACACACACACA